GGAGCTAAGACTCGGGTTAGGACAGTAGGAGGCGACTCCAAGCACTTTCCGGTTGTTACGGGGTTACGCCAAGGGTCTGCGTTCAGCCCTTTCCTATTTGCCATGGTGATGGATGCACTAACTCATCATATTCAAGGAGATGTGTCATGGTGCATGCTATTTGCTGATGACATAGTTCTAATTGATGAGACACGAGGCGGCGTCAACGAGAGGCTAGAGGTTTGGAGACATTCCCTTGAGTCTAAAGGCTTCAGGTTGAACAGGACAAAGACGGAATACCTCGAGTGCAAATTTAGGGCCGAGCCGACGGAAGCGGGAGTGGAAGTGAGGTTTGAATCTCAAGTCATTCCTAAGAGGAGTAGTTTCAAATACCTTGGGTCAGTTATTCAGGGGATCGGAGAGATCGACGAGGATGTCACACACCATATAGGGGTGGGGTGGATGAAGTGGAGGTTAGCGTCGGGAGTCCTGTGTGACAAGAAAGTGCCAACTCTACTAAAAGGTAAGTTTTATAGAGCAGTGGTTAGGCCTGCCATGTTGTATGGGACCGAGTGTTGGCCGATTAAGAACTCACATATCTAGAAGGTGAAAGTAGCAGAGATGAAGATGTTGAGGTGGATGTGCGGGCATACAAGGATGGACAAGATTAGGAATGAAGATATTCGAGAGAAGGTGGGCGTGGCCCCCATGGAGGATAAGATGCGGGAAGCAAGACTCAGATGGTTCAGGCACATTCAGAGGAGGAGCACTGAGGCACCGGTGAGGAGGTGTGAACGACTGGCTGTAGTGGGCACGAGAAGAGGTAGAGGGAGACCTAAGAAGTATTGGGGAGAGGTGATCAGGCAGGACATGGCGCGACTTAGGATTACTGAGGACATGACCCTTGACAGGAAATTGTGGAGGTCGAGCATTAAGGTTGTAGGCTAGGGGAAGTTGTGAGTATTTCTACAGCGCACTAGAGTGAGACTAGCCAGTTAGGAGTTAGTCTTAGGATGCTACTGGTCAACTAATGATGCAAGGCTTTATCTGCTGGATATTATTATATCTTCCATCTTTTTTGTACTTCCTATATTTCTTATATTGCTGTTATTTTTATTTTATGTTATGTTATTTTATTATGAGTCTATTGATAGTACTAACATATCGTCTCTTGTCGTTGTGTTGAGGCGAGGGTCTCCTGGAAACAGCCTCTCTGCCCCTCGGGGTAGGGGTAAAGTCTGCGTACATATTATCCTCCTCAGACCCCACTTGTGGGATTATACTGGGTTGTTGTTGTTGTTGTAATTAATGCGACGTATATCCCTCCTTAATTTAAGGTATTGTATATCCTACCCCTCCCACGTTTCTCTCTCCCAAACCCTCACCCTCACCCACGTTTATGTACTGTTATTAAACATAAAACCTATAATTATGGAAATATAGATTAGCAGCATATTGATGTAGAAACACTTAAATCTTACATTGCAATTAGGAGCAGCAATCATTCAAGGTCCTGGTTACACTCATTGTTAAATTATAAATGGTCGGTTCAGAAAATATTGAAGAAAAGATTTTAGTAAAATCATTACGTCACGCTAAAGATTTTTAGCAATAGTTTTGTCAAGTTAACAACTGCAAATAAAAAGAAAAACCAACTTTTAACTCCAGTCTAGGTAACAATGAAGAAGAATAATATTACGAAGTACCATTTACCAATTCTCGACGTAATAATTAAGAAAAAAAAAAGAAGTGATTTTCGACTTATTAATCGAATTCTCTCAACGAAACCAAATTTCAAATGGTAAATATAGTGAATTAGTTTCATTTGCAACAGGACACGTGCATACACGACATATGCCATCAATTTCATAGTTCATAGTTCATAGTCCCAATTATAATCTATTGCAATATTTCTTATTTTTATCACAATAATTACATTTTTTCAGAAGATTTTGTAGATGTTTTAGTCGTTTTGAATTTGTGAAAACAGAAAATAATGCATCTACAATCAGAATACAAATAATCTACAATTCATCTACAAAATATCTACAAACTGGCTATATTGAATTTTAATATCCCAATTCCCATTCGATTGTAGTTTAATTGAGATTTTCGACATAATTGCGTTTTTTGCAGAAGATTTGTAGAAGTTTTAGTCGTTTTTGATTTGTGAAAATAGAAAACAAAGCATCTACAATTAGAATACAAATAATCTACAATTTATCTACAAAATATCTACAAACTGGGTACATTGAATTTTTATATCCCAATTCCATTCAATTGTAGCATAATTGTGATTTTTGACATAATTGTGTTTTTTCAGAAGATTTGTAGAAGTTTTAGCCATTTTTTATTTTTGAAAACCCAAATTTGAATTCAAAGCTTTCAAGCTTTTTAATGGCTGTCAATGGTGGAAAATATCTGGAAGAATACTTACTTCCATAATTGTAGCGCGCCTAAATAGGAATATCTGGAAGAAAATTTAGTTCTAGATTTGTAGCACGCCTAATTAGGAAGGATCAGCTCCTAATAATTGGTATTTAATGGATGGTATATATTTTGTAGAATAACTGTGAACATGGCGGGTAAATATGAAACTATGCACATTTTTGGTAATAAGGTTTCATATATGGTATAGGAAGGAAAAAGTCTAAAAAAAAAAAAAAGTTTAAACTTTCAAACTAACAAGTAGTTTACAGCCTTGTTACTACTGTATTTACAGTTTTTAATTGGCTATAATTAAGCATGTCAAAAGCTTTGCCTTTTTTTTCTTTTGGCGCTCTCCCATAATGTCTTTATATGCTAATGAATTCTAACATGGTTCTGTTTTGCTTTCGTTTTATTCCTTTATTTGTTAATGCTAAAATCTTTAGTTTATGGGGTGTGGCTATTGGATATAATTTTGATATTGTTGTAGAAAGAAGCAAAGTTTTCCAAAGGCATTATTAGTTCTTTTTTTCTTTTTTCTCTTTTCTTTTTCGAAATTGAGTAAGCTTTGGTTTAGGGCCATATATATGAATTTGACGGCAATAACTATTTTTGTCCTATTCTTAATTATGGTGCTTTGGAAAAGGGTCATAATTTATAGGTCGCATTTTATATACTCTATTACTGATATCGTTTACCGTCCAATAAATAATAATTCTCCCTTCAGAAATATAAATCGTACTACAAAAAGGCACATCCTGAAGAACTAATACTCTTGTCATCATGTTTTGCCTGGGCTAGCAATTGAGCAGGCAAAATTTCATAATTGGAGATTTCTGATGTTGTGTCGTTTCATCTTTTACTATTCAATTTTGGTTTAATCACATCTTTTTTTATTTTATTTTATTTTTTTAAATTTTAGAAACTTATTTTTTTTTAAATCTATAAGTTTCGTATCTTATTCTTATATAATCAGATCTAACGAGAAAAAGATTATGCTGCATTCGCAGTCTATTATATGTATATATATCACAAAGTTATTGAGAAACATCTCATTCATGCCGAGAATAACCAAAATTTCCAAAAACTCCTAATTAGCCAATTCTAAATAGATAAGGATGACTTCTTTTCCTTCTATTGTTCTTCTTTGTTGGTTCCAAATGTACTTAACAAAGCTGTTAGCTTGCTTTTATGTTTTTACAAAACAACCCCCCCNTATCTCCCTCAAAAAGTGGTTAAAATCAAAGTAAAAGAAGTTTCTTCGTAAATTAATTAACATGTTTCTTCTTATATCAGGTGCTTAGCTTGAGGGGATCTTGTGTTAATTTCTCGTATTCAGACTAGCTGTAATTTCCGCTAAAGAAACATTAAAGAAAAGTTATGGGTCATTCGTCAAAAATACTGGTCCTCAAGCTTTTGTGGTGTTTTCGATTTGCTATAGAATCTGCAAAGTTCAGACAGTATTGCGCGTTTATATCTTTAAGAATATGGGCGGTATTTTATTCTTTTCTGATCGAGGTTGTGAAACTTATAATGATTTATGTTTTAGTTGTGGTTAATTTAATATCACAATAAATTATTTCTCATTTGTGTACTAATCACCCTCAGTGGTTTCACATTAATCAACTGTAGAAGAAGAGGTACAGAAAAATATCTCTTTGGATGAAAAGCCAATTTTGTATTCAAATTTGAAAGACCAGACTGGACAATGACTCGTTTACGCGCTAAACAACTTTACCTTCACACTCTATTTTGACAGTCATGGAATTCCTTTTCCCAACTCCTAATTAATAAATAATTTATAGAAAAAGTAAGGGTAACTAGGGGTTTTCAAGAGAAAACAAAAACTTGAACCAAATAAACAAAAAAAAAAATGTTTTTTGACCTGGGTTGGTATAAAATTAGTCAAAAAAAATAAAAGGAAGAAAAAAAACACAGACCGATTCTCTCTCAGCAAACACAGAGACATATCAACTTAAAAGTTCTATGTAATTTTCTTTCTATCTTTGTAGGGATTTTTCTATAAAAAAAAATATTTTTTCACAAAACAGTTGTCTAGAGATATTCCTAATGGGCTCGATCAGGTTTTGAAAAAAGGGATTTTTTCCTTCCTATACCATATATGAAACTTTATTACCAAATATGTGCATAATACCTAAATTACCCGCCTAGTCCATATTTTTCCTACAATTCATGTACCATTTGTCTATTATGAATAATTAGGGCAGAATATTCCATAAAAAACGTGCTAAAAATCAGAAAAGAATCTTGGGATAAATTGATTCTACATTAACTTCAAGTTTTGAAAAGGAAAGGAGATTTCGCATCTGCGTAATTTACTCTTAGAATACAATTCGAATTTTTTTTTTAAAAAAAATACGACCAGCTTCAACAAACTACGAACAACTTCAACAAACTGAATTCAAATTGTAGAATTCAAATCTTCGAGATTCAACAACTCAACATTGGTATATTCTGTTCTTCGTTCGTTTTCAGAAAACAAATTGGCGATCATAAATCTGTTCTTCATCTTTTTTTTTCTCAATCTAGAAATACAAAAAAACGAAAAACATTAGAATAATACATCAGCAATCATGTCCAAAATCGCAATCATACTACAATTGAATGAGAATTGGGATAACTATGGCAGATTTAGAGATTTTGAAGTTGATGTCATTGTGGTAGATGAGAATGCAAGCTACAGTATTCTGATTTCTACAATTGCAGAACAACTATCGATTGATATTTCAGAAAAAATTGTAGAAATCAAATACGGTGAACGACAATTGTCCCCCAATGGAGATTAGGAATGATATGGGGGTTCGTGTGTATATGGAGACCAAAAAGGAGAATAAAAACTTAGGTTCATATCTGTTATGTATAAGTGTACAAGATTTCAATATGGAATTGACAATCACCAACGATAACACAAGTGCAAGTTTGTATAGTTGTAAATTGCATAGATTTATGTTTTTACGGTATTATCTTCAAAATTACTACAGCTACCTACAATTAAACTACAAATCTGTTTAATGATATAATAAAGCAATGTTGTTTTCAAAATTACCTACAAAGTTAGTACATTTATAAAACAACATAAACTACAATTATGATTAGAAATTGTTGATTTCAAAATGTTGTCTTCAAATAAAACTACAATTGCAACAGTTATAGTAGAAATTAACTATAATGGCTGACATCCTAAAAATGGATGACTACAAAATTTTCACTATATCTACAAATTCTCTACAAATATTCTACAAAATTATAAGTACACTGTTTATCTTTATTTTGATGCAGGTTCATCTGGATC